CTCTCCCTCTTTTTCCTCCACACCAAGGATGGAGAAATGATTCTTTAGTCATTCATCTTTCCTTTGTCTTCCATTCCCAAAACATAAATTCCAATGTGAGTCCCTAGCTTGAGTAAACACATGGTTTCCATTTCAGATCACAGGTTTTATTGAATTAAGTATTTTACGCATAAAGAATCTCGATAGCATCCATCTTTGAACTGGAAGTGTGCATGTTTGGTTTTCTTGACCTACCTCATAGCAGATTTCTGAGGTGATCTAATATAATTACAAACTACATGTGTCTCCTTCTTTAGCAAGCTGGAAGACCACAAATCATCCAAGTTTCCTGAACTTCACCTCTCACTAGACTTTATTAGACTTAGGACTAGAGGGTGAGACAAGTTAGACAAGTTTAGAAAGTAAACATCCAGGGAGATCAAGGAAATTGCCGTGGATAGTGGTTTAACAACATTTGGCCAGGGCATTCAAGAATGCCATTGGGGAAATAATTACTTCTAACCTTGCAAGACCCATTAATTTTGTTTGGTGCTTAAGTTTATATTCTGTTTTCTGAACAACACTTTGTCCGACACAGACATACAGTGGATGATTGCTAGGAATTACATTTTGAGATTGTTTCGTAGGCTTTTAAAAATACTTTCTATTTAAATTTTATTGTGAGCAGAGTTTTATTAGATATGGATTGAAAATGCTTCATATACTTTCCTGAGGAGTTAAGATGTACTTCTTGTATGATTGACCCTCTTTATAATTATTTGAAATCACCTTCCTTTGTAAGCTTATGAAAGTTTTATGACATGTTGAGATTTTCAAATATTTTCAGAGAATCAGTTTGAATGGGATGAATTACTGCTTTGCAATGCTATGGTTTTATTCTTGATGTAAGTAAGGAAGCAAATTGTTAGAGTATCTGAAGGTGAAGTGCATCCTGTTGGAAACTGAAACTGACCTGACAGTCACTCAATCTGATGGTAGTAAATGGACCATATCACCTTAGTATGGGCAGGGTCAACCAGACATGTGCTAGACTTATTACATTGTCTGTTGTCTAGTCTATAGAATATACTTTTAAAGTTAGGGAGTTTTCAGCCAGAATATAATTACTTGATTATTAAAAATGTGTTACATTATTTAGTTTTAATTGTTTATTATTTCTAAACAAACCTCCAGTAAGAACAATAGAGCAAAATAAAATATTGTTAGGTTTGTAGAGTTTATGCTCCTGGTTTTGTTATATGCACCTCTACATATTACCATCAAAAATAGTCCATTTTACTCTTGAACTTCTGTAGTAATGAAGATATTGCTGTATTTCAAAACATCTGCCATCCTAAAGTAAACTAGCTCCATCTGAGTCAAAGAAGGTAAGTGTATAGCAGGCTGTGTTCTCCATGCTACACTAAGGATATCTTGCAATATGTGAGCGCAACTTTGGTTTAAATAGAAGAGTTTCTACTTATATACAAGTAATACAACACAAATACATATAGAACATCAATACTACTAAGGATAGGTATTAGGTTTAGTTTTTTTTTTTTTTAATTTACTCAATACTACTAAGGATAGGTATTAGGTTTAGTTTTTTTTTTTTTGACTTATTTATTTGTGCATAATGAACTGGGATATAGGCCAGAGGTGCAGGGGAGGTGAGAGGATTCACCAGAGAGAGAGCGGAGAGCAGAACAGGCAGCTCAATGATGTACACTGCTGAGGGGAGCAGTGGGCGGGTCAGTAGAGGTCTGCCGCGCCATGTGAGTCACCTCCGGGGCAGGGTTGGAACTCATGTTGAAGAGGCTTTAGCTGCTTAATGCTGTGCTTTGACCTGCTGTGCCACAAGGGAGGGCCAGGTTTAGTTCTTTTGTACAAAAAAAAATAGACTTTGATAAGTGTTAATAATAGACACTGATTCCTTAAGGTAAATATTCTATCAACCAACTTACAGATTTCCACTATCAGAATGCTGAAAGTGAGATTTGTCTGATCAGTTACAAAATACATGTTACAAATATTGCTTCTTTGTTTTTCCATTAAACCAGGTTGTCTTATGTACATGACCACTTCTGTAGCTATTTTATTTTCAACGAGGAAAGATCATGAAAAGAAAATGACTGTTTTGAACCACCTATAATACTGGGTATTTTCTATTAACATCTGTATTCTTCATCAAATATCTGAATCATGTAATGATATCTTCATTGAATAGAGGATAAAAAATGATACATAAAAATTAAGATAACCAGTTATCTGATTGCCTCAATGGTCAGTCAGTACATTTCACAATCATCCACAGTTCTATCTACTTTGTTTTTTTGTGTTACACTGTCTAATCAATATAACTACTTGTTAGGTGATTATACAATATTATTTTATTACAGTCTCAACTTTTACATACTTCTTTTCTTTAATTTCACAATGGTGGTTTAAGATCTAGAAAATAAGCCAGGACCCTTACATGAAGTTTTTATTTTATTTTTTTGTCAAAAAGATGGAAAAGTACAGAAAAAGTGATAGAATCAGAAAATGTTAAATGCAATTTATATAGAAACTCCATAGTGTTTTCCACGAATAAATACCTCCAAAGACCAACTATCTGAAACCCCATTATTGTTCAGGTATTTTCAAATAAACATAATTGTTGTCCTGCAGACAACTTTCTGTTATTCCTCTAGCTTTCATGGTTTGCCAAACCAAACCAAAGAAGAATAAGGACTTCTGTCTTCTCACAACCACAATATATTACTTTTCAATCTTGAGAAATTTCTAAGATTCTTTTTATCTGAATCACTTATATTTAAAATGAGACATTTTGATGAAGGTTGCTACAATATAAGCAGCTCACAATACACTTATAAAATAATTATCAATAAATAATTATTTAATACACCAAATTATTTCATGCTGTTTTTCATATATAACAAATAATTATATAAATACACCAAAAATTAACATTTCTCAAATATTGACAAGGAATACCTATCAGTTGGAATAAGATGATAATTACTTCATATTATCACTTCATATTTTTTGAGCTGCTAGTAACTGCTGAATATTCTGTGACTGCTAGTTTTAGTATAAAGGATATTGGAAACTGACAGTAATACAAAATAAGAACATGTTAAGCATTTCTATTCTATTAATTTAGAGTTTCAAATCATACTTTAAAATGAGTACAAGTTCCTCAATATTTACCAAATTTTAAATGCCATATTTGTATGCTATTTCCACATAAATATCAACCCCTGTAAATAACACTGAGATGGAATTCATGGATACCTAGCTAGATGATTTTTGAATAATCTCTAATAAAGATTTTGTGTGTTATTTTTTAGTAAACATACGGGCATCCAAAAGTGACTGCTGCTTTAGATTCGGACTAAGGTAAGAGAGATGCCACTTTTTTCAAACCCATTGGGTCAGATAATTCTCAGCAGAGCTCTGTCTTCATTTTACCCTTTGTTAGGATAATATTTATTACAAAAGGTAAAAATTCATTAATTTTACAATTACTTATAACTACAGAGAATATCCCCTGAACTAACTGACTAAGAGAAGGTCCACAAGTTACTTATTATAGGATCACCAATTACTGACATTCATTCTTCAGCAGTATCACAGTAAATCCTGAAATGTATGGCAAGATTCATGATGTTTATACCATATAAACCTGAGATTTAACAATTTTATGTTTCCTTCACCAAAGACACATTACACTGACAAAAGTATATTTAAAAAATGCATTTAAGACTTGAAATATGTAATAATGAAATATGAATGTATTTGCTGATCACTTACCAAAATTATCAGTTTCTTGACAATATTTGGTGCCTTGTGATTTTTCAGTCATTCATTTTAATATTACAGTGATTGTTTATTAATTTAATATGACCCGTTGACCAGTATTATCACAACACAAATAATGCTATGCTCTAAGCAAATTAAAGTTCAGCAGCTTAGAGAATGGTTAAAACATTTATCAAGTATTTTGTTTTAAGATTTAATTTATTTATACATACAGAACTGGAGTATAAACCAGAGGAGCAAGGGCAGTGAGAAGATTCACCAGAGACAGAGTGGGGAGCAGAGTAGGCAGATTGATAAAGTACACTGCTGAGGGGAGCAGCAGGTGGGTCAGGAGAGGTCTGCCGTGCCATGTGGTCACCTCCAGAGCGGGGATTGAACTTGCACTGAAGCGGTAGCGGCCAGCTTGCAGTGCTGCGTTCTAACCCATTGTGCCACCGTGGAGGGCCCTTATCAAGTAATTTGTTGTAAAATTTTTAAAAGAAGAAAATATGCCAAAATTTAAGTTATTTAGACTAAATAATATAATTTTAGCAATAAACACTTTGCTAACAAATGTAATTTAAGTAGTTTAAATTATTAGTAATATTGAGTAAAATATACCAATTTTCTCATTATACCATTACAAAAATTTTCCAAAATAGATGTACATTAAATATAATGTAAAAGCATCTTAGCCCAATAACTCAAGCTTAATTCTTATTTACGTTAGTGTTTATATTATCAACTTTCCCCATTTTATTTTTATTATTTCAGATATGAAGCTCCTTTGTTTGTAAAACATAAAAAAAACAAAATGGAAAGCCGGAGAAACATCTCAGAATTCATTCTTCTAGGACTTTCTTATAACAAGAACATACAAATATTTTGTTTTGTGCTCTTCTTATTCTGCTATGTTGCCCTATTAGCAGGAAACTTTCTGATCCTAGTCTCTGTTCGCTGCAGTCCGCTTTTTGACCAACCAATGTACTATTTCCTCATCCACTTGTCGACCATGGACATCTGCTATACCTCCACTGTCACACCCAAGTTAATTGGTGACCT